AGTCAGCAGGAGCTCCAGTCCGCGATGGCTGACTGTGTACCAGGCATTGGGCTCACTTGTGTTAATATATTTAATTCCGTGAGGGAAGTCTTGTTATTTCCACTTTGCAGATGAGGCAGTCTAGGCATAAAGCTTAGGTAACTTATCAAGGTCCTTTCCTGATAAGTGCAAGAGCAGGGACTGGAATCCAGACAGCAGCTCCGATTCTACACAGAAGTAACAGGACTTCTCCCAAGCTCAGGCCTTTCCGCGAATTAAAATGGAATTGGAGGGGCTTGAAACATGGGCTTCTAAGAACAGACTGATCAAGTAGGCCACAGTGTGGTGGGGGGGTAGTGGAGGGCACAGGGCATGTACTTTGGGGATGTGGGTACTGCCTTCTATCAGATTCAGAGCCCCAACCTGCCGGGGCTCTACAGGCTGCGGCTCTGAATCTACACACAGACCATCTGAGATGTTACCGCAGAACTGTGGCTGCACAGGGGGCGTCCAGGTGAGCTCAACTGGGGTTGGCGATTCACTTCCTCAGAATGCCTCTGGGCCCTGAGGTTCTCCTTTTCAGCAGTATAAACAAAAAGAACTGAGGCTCTGCCCCGCAGAAACATCCCTGGGAACGAAGCAGCAGCAGTCCAAGGCCTGCAACACCGAAGCTGGTCCAGGCACAGTGGGGTGCGATTCTCCACTCCCTACATGTGCCTGTGGCCGCCTACTTCAGAGCACATAAGTCAATGTGGCCTTGCTGAGCCTCAGGTTCCAGAACAGATGCACTTGAGCTTTGGCATCAATTTAACAATTATAATTAAACCAAACAGAGAGGAGGATGTGACCTAAATCTGAACCCCTCTATCACAAGGAGGCCACTCTTTACAGAATAGGCTACCCAAGAGAGCGACGTCATTCTTCGTGAACCTGCTGAGTCATGGGAACTGCTCTCCCATAATGGTACCTTTCACCAATGACTCTAGGAACAGCTGTCCCTTAAAGAGTTCGTGCCCTGCCCCGTGACTCACAGAATCATCTCATTTAATCCTCACAACTGCCCGACAGGAATGCTATTATTATTTCTGTTTGGAGGAAACCGTAGCATAGAAACCAATGACTTATCCAAGGTCAGGTAGCTAACAAGAGCCAGAAGTTAAACCTAAAACTCAAAGTAAAATGGAAACAGAAGACTCTGAGTTGCTGCCATTTATACCCAGCAGCATAAGGCACACTGGCATCGGGTCCACACATAACATTGGGGATCATCTGTGTCTGCCTGCAAAGCTACCAGTGGGGCACGGGACTGAAGGCGCTGGCAGTTCCACTAAGTGTGCTTCCACGGATGGCCATGGATGGCGCACAATCGAACCTTTAGGCAGGAGGAGTCATAGGCAGGTTTTGTCTCGCACCTCAGCCAATGTCGTGTGTAAAAGCTGCACTTTTGATCACTTTCCAGATCACCACAGCCACAGTACGAGAAGCACATCACTGAGAGGGAGAAGACTGATACGCCAAATGGAATGGTCAGAAGATGAATAAAGCAGCACTTCCTAAATTTGCTTCTGTGCTTTTTCCTCATGGGACCAATACCCAAAAGGTTAGAAAACAGACATTGACGCCACGGTGTAGCTTTCTAAAAGCCTTTAAATTTTAACCCATTGCTTCCTTACACTTTCGATGTTGCTGAGAGAGAAGGAAGACTTAGTTACACTTAAAGTGATGCAATTAGGATGGAAGGTGAGGGCGACCAGCAGCAAACATAGAGCCAAGGAGGTCCTGGACCCCTGGTGCTTGGCCACACACTCTTCCCGCAGGAAGTGCTGGCGATGTGCTCCACGTAGGCCAGGAGGCAGGCCAAATAAGAGAGAATTTGCCATGAAACTCAACACTGCCAGGAGGCAGAGAGGGAGAACTAAGTTGTAGGACAAAAAGCAGAAGTTTTGCATTCTGGAATCAAGAGGTTAAAATACAAAACAATCAGAAGAAAAAGGTGGGTAGGCATGATTCCCCTCTCACAAAAAGTTGATAGTTGGGCTTTAAAAAAAACAAAAAAGCTCCTATCAATCAATCAGCTACTGATGAGAACATTCAGAATGTCCTTGAAAACAGAAGCGACCTTCTCAGAACTGCCCAGACAGACACTTGTCATGTTACTGAAAGGCAAGCCCACTGGGACCTCACATGGCTTGAGCTGGAGGAAGAGCTCTAGAGGAAATGACAGGATTTCTAGGCTAGCTGCACCCTCAGACTGGCTGTGCTAATTTGAGCAAGCAAGGTGACCCTGCCATGGGGCCCAGTAACCTCACTGATCAGATGCAAGAGTTATCATTTTCTCCAAGGGCATAAGCCTTTCTTACAGGGCACAAGACTCAAAGCTGCCCACGGGGCAACAGGGCTGCACAGCCAAAGGGGCTACCACACATGCCACCACGCCGTGGGGACTATGTAGCCCAGCTCCCTAGAGTCCCCTACATTTTCTTTTTACTTTGGAAAATACTCTTTAGAATGAAAAAGGATTTTGCTTTCGCATGTTTACTCCAGGGGATTGTTTTGGTTTCACATTCACACTGGATACTCCTTTCTGGTTCTCTATGGACAGGGTCACGCTCTTTCGCAAAAGTCAAACATGACTTCCAGATGGAATGTCAGAGACACACACTCCTAGGTTGGAAGCTTCTTCCCTGGGTCCTGGGACATCCAGGATTTTGACTGTGCCACGACACATCATAAAGGAGAAGCAAAGGCTGGGAGTAAACGTCCTGCCGCAGCCCGGGTGAGGCCTGACGGTTCTTCCCTGGGCCTAGATAGCTGTGTGCACTGGGGTGTGCTCTTACCTCAGGAGTTCTGCCTCCTGCGGCAAAACAAGAGAGTGCCACACAGACTCTGCAACCTCCAGGTTTTCCTCTATTCTATGACTTGGGGACCTCCCCCCTGCTCTACTCATTTGCACAAATATGTATTCACTATGGAGGTGAATGGCCTGAACAGGCCATTCCTTCTACTCTTTGGTGCCCAAGAGTTCCTCCCTATGAAAACACAATCAAAGACAACACTTAAAAACACATATCCCTAGCCGGGTACAGTGGCTCACGCCTATAATCCCAGCAGGCTGAGGTGGGTAGATCACCTGACATCAACAGTTCAAGACCATCCGGCAAACATGGTGAAACCCCATCTCTACTAAAAATACAAAAAAAAAAAAAGAAATTAGTCTGGTGTGGTGGTGCGCACCTGTATTCCCAGCTACTCGGGAGGCTGAAACAGGGGAATCGCTTAAACCAGTAAGGCAGAGATTGCAGTGAGCTGAGATTGCGCCACTGCACTCCAGCCTGGGGAACAAGCGCAAGAGTTCGTCTCAAAACAAAATAAAACACAGATTCCTGTGAGAGAGATCATTTGCTGTCATCATGCCCTCTGGCACACTTTCTTGAGAGCTGACTTACTAGTGAACGTGGTCTTACTCCTGTTCTTTCCTGTCTGTAACTTTTGGACTTCACCACGCTGCGCTTCGGAGCACTCATCTATACAATGGACATGATGATACTTCTCCAACAGGGAGAGATAATTCCATTAAACTTTAACCTTAGGGTAAGAGGTCACCATATACTACCTCTTACTTTTATAGGTGCAGTTAGGAAATCTCCAAGAAAGGTGGAACACAGAAGGGTAACGAGGATACTTTCATCAGTATTCTGTTGGTGGTCAACATATACTCATCTGCCAAATGAGAATATTCAAAGAAGCACATAAGCCCATGTTATAAATTGAAAAGACCTTAGAACCAATATAACATACAGGAGGAAACAGAAGGATGAGAAAGATGAGGCTGGTGGAGGGAGGGTGGAGATAGATGAAGGACCAGACCAAGATCACACAGGATACCAAAGGCAGACCAGGGTAAGCGTCTCCAGGCTCCACCAGCAGAGTTATCTGAGCTGAAGAGGAAAGGTAAGTGCAGCTCCACTCTCCAGGTCTTCCAACAGCTGCCCCTTCTCTGTTTGTTAATAAAGGTAAAGGTGTCCACAAGCAAGGGTCAGGGTATGAGCTGGTCTCCATGTTATGTGGAGCCTCCTGAATAATTCTGAAACTACAAGTGAGCAATGAATGTAGACCTGTTGCTTCCATCCCTCTAAAACTCATATTCTTAAAAAGAAAAAAAAGTGCTTGAAGGAGTTCTTATATTCAAAATTTGCTGGGAGAGAAAGCAGCGCCCCAGCAGGGTCTGCTAGATGGAAGGTAATGAGTTAATGGCATAACCTAGGTGCCTATATCCTGTTCAGCTGTCTCTTCAAATAACCAAGACCTCTGCAGCGCCATGCATTTGTAGCAGCAGTTTCCTCACCTGGAACATGGTCTTCCCCACCTTGCCTGTAATACAGTCATCTTTTGAGTCTTGGCTCCAAAATCACCCCTCCTATAAAACCTTCCTTGATTCTCCAAGTCCCAGGCAGAACTAACGTATCCCTACCACCCCAGTTCTCATCCCACCCAGCACAGACCTCTATTCTGAGCTGGTAACATTTCCTTTATAGGTCGTTGGCTATCTAATTCATCTAGATGTTAATAGTACTGAAAATTGTGACTAATACATGATATAAGCTTAGGTAACAGCTACAGAATGAGCGCATGAATGAATGGATTATAAATGACTGAACCCAGGTGCTGGGTGCTCTGCAGGTAAAATTGTCAAAGCCCTGCCTTTACTGACATTCAACACGTTGCCAAGGTTTGCAGCCACCTTTGGAATTCATGACACCTAATCACACGTATTCACTGGGTCACAGAAGAGCCTGGCCTCCTGCCCCTTGAGTACTGAATGACACCTTTAGAAGGGTAGCTATTTGTTTTCCAAGAACACTTGAAAACTGCAATATTCACTTCCCTTTGCCCTCCTAAGATTCCTTCCCCTCACCTGGACCACAGACAGTTAAAAAATGTCCATGCAAGACTTTTCTAGCAAGCTGTTGTTAGGAGCAGTCCATCACAGTACCCAGGTCTGGATAGGAATCGGGACCTACCTTTCTTCGTCCTTAAAGATGAATTTCCGCAGCTTGAGGTCACGCAGCACCAGCCCCCCATCGTGGCAGTGGGCAACTGCCGAGGCAATCTGGTAGAACAGTCTGGCTGCCTCCTCCTCTCTCAGCTTCTTGCAGGTGCGGACGAAGGAATGCATGTCCCCATAGCTTCGCTCAAAGAACACATAGGCTTTGGTCTCACCCAGGAGAATTTCAGTGATTTGGTTGATGTTACTGTGAGCAGACAGGCAGAAGCATGGTGCCAGGGATTCCTGGTAGCAGCTGATATCGAACACCTACGACAGGATTAGCAGTAGGACCAGAGTCAGAGGTGTCTCGTGTACAACCAAAACACAGAATCCTACACCTCCCACAGGCATGGGCTTTTGAGATGACAGAAGATATGCTGAACTTGGACCCAGACCATACTGGCTCTGTCTCTTACTAGCTGTGTGGCACTGAACAAGTCACTTGACCTCTCTGAGCCTCCAAATCTTTACATATAACCTGAGTAACTGATACTTGACTCGAAGTGTGAGGAGGATTATATGAGAAAATGAAGGTGATAGTGCTTTGTAAATTGTAATACAGTACCCAAATAGTAAGTTTTATTATTTTTCTCTCTAGCCCAATTGCGTGTTTATAGAACTAAGGCAAAATTGGAGAGAAAGTGACCTCAAATGACAACAACAACACTATACTTCAAAAAAAAGAAAAAAGCAAAAAGCACATAAACAGGCATTATATAGCACATGAGAAATTAAGAGATTAAATAGCTAGATGATGCCTAATGGTCTCTAATTCAATACTTTCATTTTACAGATATGGAAACTGAGGCTCAGAGAATGAGCCAAAACTCAAGCCCCCAGTGGCAGAGGCAGGAATACAATACAATCCTTTTTAATAGGGAAACAGACTTGCTTCTTTCTCCCTTCCCTCCACAGATAATCTAACTCAATGAACCAGTTATGTAATGATTTTCTATGAATCAAAATTAGCCTGTGAAATGCCAACTCACTGCGGGGTTGCTTAAAAAGAAAAGGCACCATCAATACCTTTTGAAACAGACCTAACAGAAATTAACACTACAGAGAATTTTTGAGGTTATTAAAAAAAGCGCTTTCATTCATTTCAAGACCTCCACTAAATTAGGAATACAAGTCCCAGGGTTTGGAATGTGTTTTTTCTATCTGCCTGGAATGTGGGTAAGATGAATCTATTCAGTGTGTGCGTGAACCAGGGGCATGCGTGGGTGAGCTTCGCTGGAAAGCATCTAAGGCAGGAACGCCCTAACAATACACTGCATGCTATCAATTCACAATCATTTAGCTGCCTAAATAGCTTTTTCACCAGCTAGAGCATAGTTTCTTTGATCATCATTTTGCAGTGTGGTGTGAAAAATGCTGGCCTGGAAATCGGCAACCTTAAGGCACTAATCCTGGCCCTGCCACCAATAATCTGGATGAGATGGATAAAGAGCTTAGGGTTACAGGACCTCCCTCCTCTTCAGGAAATGAAGATGTTGATTTAGAAAAGTGTTAGTTAACCTTTTTGGGGGTTCTGATGTCACATAAAATCGGATAAAAGCTCTGTTCCCTCTTAGCTGACGATGCCCATTCTCAAACGCACGTACAATTCTGGATTCAGTTTAAGGGGATTCACAGGCTTTCTGAAGCCCATCCAAGGCCACAGACTGCTATTTAAGAATCCATGAGTTAAGTTGCTCTAAGCTTCAAAAAATTGAAACAAAATCTGTGAGTCAAACAGGGATGTAAAACCTCAAGAGAGTTGGTGCTAACCCGGCTGAGGAAGCAGAGTTAACAGTAATGTTGTGAATGAACCATAATGAGGCATCTCAGAAAAGCGGCACAGCTGCTGCCACTATAACCTAGAATTTAAGAAAGAATACTGCAACATCTCCAGAGACCACAAATCACACACTGATACTGTCAAATGATGACCTAAGAGCAGTGACCTCAGAGGCCTGTCCAATTAGGAATCTGAAATGCTTGAATCAACTTTTAACATCCCACTGCAGGCGACAGAAACCTAGAGAAGCCTCAAAAATGTCAAGGAGTAATAAGCTTTGCAGTGGCCAATGTAAACACTGCGTTATGTAATGAGGATGATGTGCTCTGGAATACCTTGTCGCAGCTTCTGTTGCCAGTGCTCACTGAGTTACGATTATTATATATGATCTACTTCCTGTTTCCAGGTGTATTTACAAAACATAAAAGGTGACTTTTGCTCAGTACTTTTAGTCTATTATTCTGCTCTACTGCTGAAAACCTGAATGGAGACAGAATATTTAAAACCAAAAACTAACATATTTGTGGTAGCTTCAAATGTAGCCATACCTTTTGTAGAAGAGACCAAATTCCAAGATGGTGGACAGAATATGAAAAATAACATGAGTGCTTCTGTTTTGCCACATGGGAAGAAGCCAAACTTCTATTCGTAGCTATCAGAGGCATTTAGGGGCTTGGACTGATATTTAAACCAACATCTTCAAGTGCAAAGTCAAGCCACAAACCTGGATGCCAGCTTCTTTACTTGTTTAATTTGGAGCCTTGGTTATGTAATGTGACAGTTCAGATAAGGCAGTAAGATGAGGCCATCATTAATAACATTTGCAAAATAAAAAAGAAAGTACTCATTCTGCCAAGATAGTAATTATGTCAGTCTGCACAGTAGCTACCAGTATTTCCATGAAAACACACAGTTAAAGGCTCTTTAAAGCTCCTTCATTCATTTGTCTGGCCAAAAGTAGGCACATGGAGACAACAAGCAGCCTTGAAATGACTCTGGAATGTCTATTCCTCCAAATAGTGTCCTATAGAATTCTCTGCACAGCCCTCTATAATAAACAGCATGTTTACATTTTATCTGTTTTTGCAAAGAATTTTTTCATTGGTCAACACACAGCTAGGAAACATGAACCTTCTATTCTAAGACATCCTAAGGAACTAGATTCAATGTGGAGATTTCACTGAGCCCTGAAGTAAGCTAAGAGACCACAGCATATATATCTGTCAGGGCAGTTCATGGAAGCAGCCTTATAAAACTCACTTGGAGCTTCTTAGGATATATACAACTAGACTTGCATAAGAAGTCACCCACATCATCTTTGGTAAAAAGTCAGGAAAATGGAAGCTGCTGTGTCTTAAAGGGATGACCTCTGTCAAGCAGAACAATGATACTGCACTTAAATCCACTTGCAGCCACACTCTAACTGGCGAAGGGCTGATTCAATCTTTGCAATAACTAAACCAGCAGATTAAGTCCAATTTTAGGCCAGAGCGCAAGTCTGCAGATGACACTGTAAGGTCAGCCCCAAAGTGAAATATGTCTTGAAAAATCTGGAGAAAGAAAGAGCAGAGGCCAGAATCACCTCTGATTTTAAACAAAGAAGTAACCGCCAGATGCCCCTGCAGAATTTGGCTACAGAGTCCCTATACTTAAAAGCATTTCCAGCCTTTGAAAAATATTAAAATGCTGTACTGAAGTTGAGCAAAAGGAATAAAAATATTCACTGCTGGGTGATTGTGCATATTTCATACAAGAGTGGCAGTTCTGTGGAATTCATTCATTTCAAAGGATGACTATCCTATGGTGCAATCTTGCAGGACTTCTGAGAATTCAATCCAGCTACTGAATTTTGGTTAACTGGGCACAGTGGCTCTGGGTCTCAATAACTTAGAGAAGATGCAAAATGCCAAATGCTGAGTACAAGCAAAAGGGAACATTTAAAGTCTCCCATTTCCCCCTAAGGTCTGAACTGAACAATCGCAAAACTGTCTGGAGATCTCCAATAAACCCAAATTTTGCAATGAAAAACTCCATTCCACTGTGAATTAAGGCAAGTCTGCAGAGTAGACCGTGGTGAATGGCAAACGTGTTATGTGTTATTTGTAGCACAACCGTGGCCAGTGCCCATTTCAAAGGCAGAATGGATCCCCACTGTCCCCTTCCTCCCCACCCCCCGCAAAACAACAGTGAGCAAATCTAAAATTAAGTGACAATGAATTCTTGATCTATGTCCAATCCTGGGTGGTAGTATGCTCTATTGTAATTATTTTATTTCTTGCAACTATGTTCCCCTCATCCACTTGTCTGGGGCCCGGTGGGTACACACAAAGATACACAGACACACATGTACATTAAACCAGTCACTGTTCCGGGTTAAAGACAAAAAAAACTTAAGTGTCCATCTGGGTGTTAGCACCCAGGGCTCCAGACAGGAGCCTCTTAACCTTACAGGCAAAGGTGTGTGTTCAGCGGGGAACGGAAGAGGGAGATGAGCAGGCAGCGAAGTCTAGAGATGGGGAGAGAGACCAAGACCAGAGAGAAAGACCCAAAGCTTTCACTATTCACGAGAAAGTGTGCCGGCTTTGATTTCCACCCCAACCCTCCATTCAAGGCTCCAGGCTGAAGAAAGGTCTTTGTAAACTCCTTCCCTGCGCTGGGCCCCTGGGATCAGCAAGAGGGGGCACCTTTGTGTGTCTGTTTTAAAGGGCACCTTCGGAACAAAGGTTTAACACCTGCCCGCTGCTAAGAACAATGGCTGCGAAAGAAACGAAGTCATCACTCCTAAAATTACCGGGGGATTCCCTAATCCTTGTTGGAAGGGGAGGGTGATAGACACGGGAAGAAATCCCCCGGGCAACTAGACTCGGCCTCGCGCAGAGAGCTCCTCCTGGAGCCTCCAGAGCACGCGTGTCCGTGGCCCCCGCGCAGTCCTGCCGCCCTCCCCTCCGCGGGCTCTCCCCGAAACGCCCCCGCTGCAGCCCGCCCCATTGTCTGAAATGGTCTAAAAACTTCGCAACTTACGGAACCCTAGGAAATAAATAAGAAAACCCATTTAACATGGCCACAGTAATTAATCCCACGAATCTCCCTCTCCCAGACTCCAGGGCCTGGCGCTCTCCCGCCCCCTCCGGCCCCTTCCAAAGACAAAAAGCAACCCCCCAGCCCTTTACCTTGCACACCAGCTCCTCTCCGCTGTGCAGATGCACGGCACGAAAAACGTGGTCTCCCTCCAGAGGTTCCAACAATAAGTATTTCCCGATGCAAGAAACGCAATGCGACAAGTTCGGAGTCTCAGGCGGGCTCGGAGAGCCGAGGTTCGGGCTGAAACTCTGGCTGGGCTCCGCGGACCTTATAGACGACAACTCTTCGAAATCCTGGGTTTTGTTCCGCGATCTCCCATACCTCGCTATTGTGATGGGGGTAGACCTGTGTATGTTCATGAGTGTGAGGATCGCACACGACAAACAAACAAAAAAAAAAACCCGCTGGAGAGATGAGTCGCCGGCGAGTGCGGTTGCAGGCGCCTCGGTGCCACCGGTTTTAAAAGGGATCGAGAGGGAGGGGGTAGGAGAGGGGCTGCGCGGAGAAGAGTTAGAAACACCCAACTGGGCGCCGCCGCGGGACACCTGGTCTGCTCCTAGCCCGGCTCCCGGGGGTCCAGGGTCGGCAGGCAACTCGGGTCCTTTTGTTACCCCAAAGCAGCCGGGGAGGTGCAGAATCGCCGCACTTTTAGTTTCTCTGTGTGTGTGTCCCCAGCGTGGGTCCGGATGAGTAACCGGGCTGCGAAGGTGCGGAGCTGCAGCGCTCGGGCTCCCGACGCGACCCCCAGGCCAGCTTCCGAATCGCAGACGGGGCGGAGGAGCCCGCGGGAGTTTGTGCAGTCTTCGGGGCGCGCACGGCGGCGGCTCAGTCCCAACGCGTTGGAAACCAAACAAAAAGAGAAAGGAAACAAGCACGGGTCTGCCGGCTGGCGACGCAAGGCAGCCAGAATCCGCGCTGCACCCCCTTTTTTGGTGGAAAGGGTGGGGGGCGTGGAAGGGGGGGTGCGGGAGAGGGCAGTTACCTACGTTTTAACTGTAGATGGCGTCTGAGGCTTTTCCAAGATTCCAAGCTCTCCAAAAATTAAACAAACAAACAAAAAAAAGAAAAATAGCGAGGGAGCATTTAACTTGGAGAGGTCAGCGCTGCCAACAAAAGATGCCAAAAGCTGGGCGCAGAGTTGCGGCGCGGGCTGGGCGCAGGTAGCGACCGCCACAAAGCCCTGGGCTCGGCCCGCCGCGCGGAGGTCAGCACCGGTTCCTGCCGCGGCCGCTCGCTCGCGCCCGGGGTCTTCCTCCAAGCGCAGCCAGACGTGCAGGCGAGAACGAGGACAGATCGGCGGTCTCCGCTGTCGCCAGCACGAGCTCGCGGGGTCCTGCGGGAGCTGCAAGGGCGGTTGCGTCCCCGCGCTTCCAACGCGCGGCAATCCGCTGCTCCTCTCCGCTGGAGAACTGGATCTCGTCTGGAAGAATTCGCAACCACTCCGTCTTTTTCTACCCCGAGCCCAAATTTGCCCGGCGGGGTTTGTTTTGGAGAAAACTGACGGCTCGTCTTCTCCTTCTTTGATTTCTTGCTTGTCCCCCCCCTCAGAGAAAAGAGCGGACCGTGTATTTAAAAATTAAAGGGGACGGCCGACGGTGCCGGAGGCCAATCCCCGCGCTCAGCACGCCCGCAACCCCCGGCGAGGCGGTATTAATAGTTACTTACGTGGCCGGGGATCTCGGAGCGAGCGGGGCCGTGTGTGCGCGTGTGCGCGCGCGCGCCTCGCTCGCGCTCGGTCTCCCCATTCAATGTCACCGACACATTTCCACGGAGCCTCCGCCCCCCCGCCGCCCCCGCAACTGGCTCGGCCCAGAGCCGGCCCCGCCCCGCCCCCGCCCGGGCCCCCCTCATTGCGCCGGCCGCCCATCAATCAGAGCCGCCGCTGCCAGTCCTCGGGCGGTTCCCCGCGCCGCAGCCATTGCAGCTCCGGGCCGGGGGCGCCAGTACCGGCCTCGCAGCTCCGTGACTCGGCCAGGGAGGTAAACAAAGTGAAATATCCTTCCGCGGCCCGGGGCCCTAGGCGCTGCACAGCGGGTCCGGACTGCGCTCCCCGCTGCCGCTGCGGCTGGGCGGGTGTTACCGGCAGCGACTCCCGGGCCGTTCCCCCAAAGCTGCTCCGGCAGCGCCGGCTCCAGCTCTTCGTAACTCGTTCATCCTCCTGGTGCTTTTCCCCAGAAAGCCAGGCAGGCTCTGAGCTCCGGACCCCAGGCTCAGAGGTGGCTCAGAACGAGGAGCTGCTCTCTGTTTTGGAAGAATGTGCTTGCATCGGAGTTGCTGCCTGGAGTTTCGAGAATTTGTTTCATGGTTATCTCTCCGACATCTTTCTCTCCATTTAAAAGGAAATCCATTGCTTGCTTTTAGTTGGTGACACCGCCTGCCCCCGACCCCCACGACCTGGGCATGGATTTCTAATATTTTCAGCAGAAGAGGAGCTGAAGGCATCTTTTGACTCAGGTCAAATTTAATCACGAATTCTTCCCTTCCCAGGGCATTGCCCGGAGGGCCTTGGAGCCCAAGCTAGACAAAACCTTGCACCCACACCTCCAGGGAGCGCTGTTGGCTCCCATCCAGGGTTCTGGGCATCCTGAGTCCTCTTTGTTAACCAGGTGAAGGCTAGAGTTTTCCGCCCTCACCCCGCCCCGCTCCCCGAATTATTCTTAACTTCCTTGGGAGATTCCAGTCCGCTAGCTTGGACAGAAACACAGGAGGAAAGGGGCTCGAACTCAGACAGAGGCTTCAAACGCCAGCCATGATGTAAGATATCCCGGTGAATGAGAAGCAATCTAGTAGAGGACAAACTTAAAAAAAATCATGCCAAGGGACTGAGAAAGGGAACTTGGGGCAACTCTTGGAGCCCTCTGAGCTTTTGCAAGGGTGTAGTATGTTTTTCACTGGAGGAGGGGACTAAATTATTTATAGTGCCCACGGTAGGACACTTTCAGTAAAAGAAGGGAGCTATTTATAATTATGTCCACTTGGGACAATAGAGTCCCTCTAATGATCAGGAGTCTTGGGAAGGTGGCCAGATATGGAGAGAACACTGACTATAAAACTGCCATCCAGCAGCACAGAGTTAAGAGGAAGGTTAGGAAGTGGCCCGTGCCTTCTAGCACATCTCACCATCCTACTCCCCACAAAACTGCCTAGGACTCAATCTCAGATCCCAGGAGAATAGATCTATTTCCCTAGGTGATCACCATGACCACTGACCGAGCAGGGTCCCTAATCCAGTCTTACCTCAGGAAGACACCTGGCCTGTGTCAGGGACAGACTTGAAGCAACCTCTGCTGTTGAGTCAGAAAGAGAGGTGCCTGGCCTTCTCTATGCAGTGGCCAAGAGAGCTTTATAATAATTGAGGTTAGGAGACTTGTGTTCTAGCCCTGGCTGGGACTCCGATTTCAAATGGAAATTGAGTGAAGACTTTGTTTTTTCTCCCTAGGTCCCTGTTTCTTCATCTGTAAGATGAGAAGCATAACACCCGCCCTGCTCACCTCACGTGGTTGCTTTAGAATTATATTTTCAATTCCAGGAAATCTATGAAGGCTTACTCTAAGCCGGGCCCTATGCTAAATGTTAGGGATCCAAGTATGAGTAAGATCTGGTCTCTGCCACCCAAGAGCGCGGGATCTAGCCCCGCAGAAAGACTGGAAACAAATAATTTCATTGTGTAACAATGTGGCAATTAGAATATCAAGGCCTCAAGGGAGCATGGAGGAAGGAATGACTTTTCCTGAATCTCAGGGAGTTTTCCCAGAAAATGTGATTTTTTATTACCTTTAATCCAGAGCAAATATTTATTGAAACCTACTATGTGCCAGATTTTGGATATGAAGATACAGTGATTTAAAAAAATATATTTCCTGTCTTCATAGACCTTGAAGTAGTCCTATGAGTCATAAAATAAAATGAATAAGAGCTTGTTGTTGGCATTTCAGGCAGAGGGAAGGAATGTGGAAAAGCAAAGGAGTGGGATGTTCTGAAATTTCTAGTAATGGCACCATGTTCAAGCAGTGGCAGCTGGGGCAGTGGCCAGGCATGTGGCTGGCAAAGTGGATTGATTCGGATTTAGATTGGGAAGGGGTTGATAGATACAACTAGCAACAGTGGTCTTCCCAGTAGAGGGGATGGAGAATCAAGAGTGACACTGGGAAGTGACATGGTTGTTTGCAGGATTTAGAAAGATCCTGCTGAGATCACAGGGAGCAGATACCACTGGGCTTCCAAGGAAAGAGGCAGCAGGAATAGTAAAACCCTCTAGTGATGCTGTACATGATTCCTAGTGAATTTATGACTTCTGATGAAATTATACAGTTGCCATTCTCCTACCTGTCCTTGAAGGTCAAATTCATGGCTAAGTGCTATATTTGTTGATTAAATTCATTGAGCTATTGCAGTACAGGATAAATTAGATAATTTATATCAAGTGCCTTAAAATATTTTTTATGTCCGTTCACTCAGTAATTCTTATCAAATTGGAAGATTAAAAGCAGGTAGTAGGAAGATATGGGTGGGGATCTTTATTCATTCACTTTTTAGCCATATGACTTTAGTCAAATTTAGAATATCTTAATCTATAAAGTGAAATTACAGTAGAAATGTTGCCTTAACACATACCAATTATGGAAGATGTATATAAAGCATCTGGCCTTTAGGCAATGTCTTGCCTATAATAAAAATTCAATAAACAGCCATTATTACTATTGTTGTTTTTGGAACACATCCACAGAAAGGTGAAATAATAGTAACAGACAACACGTTTACAGTATCAGCCAAGGCCTGCGGGAGTTGTTAAACACAGTTACAGGAATGGTTCTGTACAGTGTTGGACAATAATAAAATATGTGGTGATTATAAAAGGATTATATAATTGCAAGGGGATATATTTAAACCAGTTTACTCTGTAGTGGGACAAATCCAGTTGTCTGGAGTTAGTAGCATGTTGTGCATGTTTTCTAGAACATTCTTTATTCCAGAATATATTTAGCTGCTCCTTCATTCACTTCGTTGCTTATTAGTTCATTCATTTAGGAAGTACACACTGGGCATCTGTTAAATGTGAAGCCCTATACAACGTGCTGTGTTTGTTGGTCAAGTAATAACAAATGGTTGTTAAGAAGTCGTAAGACTCCTATATCACTTTAAGGCCTTTACCGTATGTGACAACGTTTCTCCTGTTTTAACTCTGACAGCAAGTAATGTCTAGACTCAAAACTCTGTGACAAGTTTCTAGGATAAGTTGTAGAGAGTTCCACCTCATACTGATGTGCATAAAGACTATGGTGTGCTCAACTCCAGAACATTCCATTCTCGTTGAGAGCTCTGTGAATGAAACCCTGAAGTTGTGTAAAATGCAGTTGTCTTGGTCTGTCTGGGCTGCCGTAATAAAATAATATACGCTGGTTGTTCATAAACAACAGATATGTATTTCTCACAGTTGTGGAGGCTGGAAAGTCCAGTACAAGGCATCGGCCCATTTCGTGTCTGGTAAGGGCCAGAATCCTGGTTCATAGATGGCGCCTTCATGCTGTCCTCACATGGTGGAAGAGGCAGGACAGCTTTCTGGCGCCTCTTTTTTTTTTTTTTTTTTTTTTTTTTTTTGAGACGGAGTTTCTCTCTTGTTACCCAGGCTGGAGTGCAATGGCGTGATCTCGGCTCACCACAACCTCTGCCTCCTGGGTTCAGGCAATTCTCCTGCCTCAGCCTCCTGAATAGCTGGGATTACAGGCATGCGCCACCATGCCCAGCTAATTTTTTGTATTTTCAGTAGAGACGGGGTTTCACCATGTTGACCAGGATGGTCTCGATCTCTTGACCTCGTGATCCACCTGCCTCAGCCTCCCAAAGTGCTGGGATTACAGGCGTGAGCCACTGCGCCCGGCCTCTGGGGCCTCTTCTTAAGGACACTGATTTATTCCTGGAGTCTCTGCCCTCATGACCTTATCACCCCGCAAAGACTTCACCTCTTAATACCATCACATTGGTGATTATGTTTCAACGTGTGAGTTTGGGGGACACAAATATTCTGACCAAGCAGCTGTTAGGGCCTTAGACATAAACCCATTGGCCTGACATTCAGCAACTTCCCAGCGATTTCATCTGTCACTCTCGGTTACATGCCAGACAGCTGCTCATCACCCCAAGGACTCCAGGCTCCTACTTTTGGGCTTATGACTTAGCTCATATCCTCCTCCATATTTGGTGCCTCTATGTTTCCCTGGAATATTTTCCAGGACATTCCCTTCACCTGGCTGCACTTCCTCAGCTCAAGGTTATAGTCCCCACTTCTCTGGATGTCTCAAG